GAGGAACTGTATTAAAGGGTCGCGGCATTAGGAAGGTCGAGAACCACTGTACTAGACCTTACAAATGATGGAGCCAGCCTTATCTCCACTTAATTTGAATCCAAGTTTTGGATAAGTGCCTCTGAGTGTGAAATCTAAATCAACCCTCAAACTCCGAGAACAAGGGAGTCTGGCGGTGTAAGTTTGAGCTTTCTCCCGTCAGCAGGATGCGCTTAGAAGGAAATTGGCATGCATATTGAGTAAAGCTGCGTTATAAGTCCTACCTACATCATGTCATACCTGCATCAGGACTTTGGCAAAAGAGAGGCACTTCCTCTACATTCCACTGGTGTGGGCACCCCTCTGTTCCCATCACAGGACTCAGGTTTATCACATGGTAAGATCACACTATTTTTAGACTCAAACTGGAGAGTCACCTGGTTTTATACACACTCTTTATTATCCTCCATACCAGATATCAAGGGGCCTGGTGATGCTGGGGATTAGTGTTGGTTGGGGCATGCCTGACAGGGAACCTTCTCTGGCCAGAGTTCGTATTAGCTGAAGAACGCCATTATTAGTGACACCTTCAGACATAAGCAGTCCTCAGATTACAAATGGGCTGCATTCAGTAATCTGTCTTTAAATCAGATTTGTGCGTGTATCCGAAGCATTAGCTCTGCTTTGCGTTTAATGTTAGTAGTGAGTCAAACATTTGTCTTACCCACTGCCATCGCACAGATTCCAATGCAGAGCGACTTGGTATAGGATTTCAGAGCCTGTAGATCTTTGTGGGAACAGACTTCATCTTTCTCCTGGGTTTGAACTGCTGACCTTGCTAACATGCCACTACGTCACTGAGCCAAAAAACCAAGCTCACAGCTGTTAAGTAGATTCCAACTCCCAGTAACCCTATAGGACAGAGAACTGGTCCTGTGGGCTTCCAAGATGCTCTCTTGCTGGAGTAGAAAGCTTCCACTTTCTCCAGAGGGGGCTGGTGGTTTTAGTCCAACCAGGAACCCACTACACCCCCAGAGTTCCAGGGGTGCCACGTGGGTGCCAACATTATTATTCCTTAGAATATAGTGTACCTTTCTTTGCATGAATGCATTAAAGAAACAATTTAGCATGCATTAAGATATATTTAACCTAATGACAGTTCTGTGAATGTTGTGATACACGCTGGCAAGTAGCTCCCACTTGGTATTGCAAACCATTGCAGATACCTCAACATTTTAATATAATAGGCCTCATTCAGGGTTGGTATGCAAGTTGGAAGTTCATAACCCCGGGGGTTCTGCCTGCATCAAATAAAGTGGATTAGTTAAAAAAATTGAGATATGAAATCTACTTAGTGGTTTCTTTCATGGACCGGGCCTAGCTAACATAAGCACGGCACCATACGTCCACTGTACTCAGTGAGCTACATCACTCAGTTCGCCAATATGAAAGCATTTATAATGTTTACCCAGCCACAGAAACCACCAATATGAAATTACATTCTTTCTAGTCTTCACCTTTCAAATTTCGCAAACTGGAATTAATTTCAAAGGGAAAATGTCTGGCTGAAATGTATTAAGAGTGGGCAAACCACAGAATATTCTATGGAGAAATTAGTTAGATTTAAAACAGGTGGAATTCCCTGAGCAGATAGAAAATCGACATGTTTCTCATTCTCTCCAAAATGGAAAAGAAAGAGTATTTCCTTCAAAATACTTTTTAATTAAAAGTAGTTTGGAGTATGATTGTTCATAAAAATATAGCTCAGTTGCAAAGATAAATTACAAGCGTAAAGCACTGAGCAACTACGAATGGGATCACACGTGGACAGTCGAAACTGGGTCAGAGGTTCGGGTCACCTACTGCAATTCAGAAACTAGCTGGGTGTCTCTCAGAACTGCTCCGAAGGGGTAAAGGTGGAGGGCTCTCTCAAAAACTTCTTTTCATATAATAGGATAATAGAGGTCTTTGGAATCTCCAATTTAATGGTCTTCTCAGAATTCTGACATGACGTTCTACCACATCCTGAATTGAATCCGTTTGCAACTCAGGATCCACAATTCAAGTGTATGAGATAATTGGTTGTGATAGCCTAACGGCACAGACTGAGCCCGGATCACGAAAGGACTAAGAAAATCCAATCTATGCATATTCCTTCTCTCTCTCTGTCTCTTTTTCTCTCTGCCTCTTTGCCCCTCTCGGCCATCAACTCAATTCTGAGTTATAGAGACAGAGTAGACTCTCTCTGTCAGTTTTAAAACTTCTTTCCAGGAGTAAAAAGCCTCCTCTTTTTCCCTGGAGAAACTGGTGGATTCAAACTAGTGATCTTGAGGTTGGCAGCTTAATGCCTAATCACAATGCCACCAGGGCTACTCTTGTAGTTCTTAGGTAATGCCAATGATCGACATGCTTCACCGAGACATGCCTTGCAAGGAAAGCCTAACAATAAGTCCCTGGAGCCCAAATGCCTTCAGCATAGCCCGGACTTCTTCCTGCAGTGTAATCTGATCTTGATCACGTGCTACCTATTGAAATAGTTGTGTATTGATGGAATCTGTTGCCTCCTATCTTCTTTTGAAGCTTCATGCATTGTTCAATAGCTTGCTCACAGAATGCGTCAGTATTGCAACTTGAGGCTTAAATTCTTTTCTTGTTCTTTCAGCTGAGTGTTTTCTTCCCTTTTGAGTTTTTAACTCCAGATCTTTGTACATTTCATTATAACTTACTATGCTATCTGGGGTGAAGAGGCATCTTCTCAGCAGGGGGTAAAGCTGGACTGAATCAGTTTGGACAATCCATGACAGTGTCTTCATCTCAGGATCTTTAACTTAATCACATCAGCCAAACCTCCCTGCCACCCACCCCATAGAACTTAAATCCATAGGTTTCAGGGATTAGGACACGGATACCACTTGGCTAGCCATTATTCAGCCTACCACATACACCATCTAAAAATGAACTAAAACTCAACCTTAGTTATTGCTTACTTTCTTGCGATCATAAACCTAGGGTCTATATTCAGCACTAGATTTGAAAGATGCTTACTTTAAAATAAATGTTTAGAAGAACAGCTAGTAGCTTTATCTATCTTTTAAAAATTTCTGACTAATTTAGACATAACCTTAAAATAGTCTGTGGATCAAATTTTAACTAAGTTTTGCTGTGATCATTCTGGATATGCTTTGGAATGCCCTTCTAAAATAATCCCTGTTGTCACAATGGTTAAGTACTCAGTTGTTCACCAAAAGGTCGGTGGTTTGAACTCACCAACTGCTCTATGGGAGGAAACTGGCAGTCGGCTTCTGCAGCGATTACAGCCTTGGGAATCCTAGGGGCAGTTTGACTCTGTCCTCTGAGGCCACAATGAATCAGAATCCATTGGACAGCAATGGGTTCAGTTGGAAACTTCTTATCCTGGCGTGTATTTCCTTGTGCTTTTGATCAGTTGTGAGAAATCTATAAAACCTTGAATCTGGAATGAGTCCCTATTATTTAATTCTTATCACCCTGGATTGGTAGATTGTATTTAGAACTAGACTACAACAGAATGAATACATCTGAGGGATGATTTTACACCCAGCATGTCATTTACTACACAATGAACTATAATGGCTAAAATATCGACGAATTCAGGTGGTTTGTTTCAGGATTCAACTTAAAATACATGGACTAATTAATAAATGGATTTTTCCCCTTCTTGTGACATTCTGAATTTCATCTATTTATTTATTTATTTACATATTTATTTATTTATTTATTTTTAAGGCTGCATCAGTACTAGTGGGAGCCATGTGTGGGAGAATACCTGCCTTACGGACTGGCTATGTAATCCCTCATTCAACCTGGACCCGCCACAAAGACAGAAAGGGCAGGAACTTTGTATTCTTTCCCATCCTAGTGCAAACCAGAGAACAACAGTCAATTGTCCCATTTCTATCAGAGGATGCTGAATTTCGTTTATCTTGCTAAGCAATTTAAGTTGTCCCTTTTTGGTTACATATTTTAGTGAATAGGAAATGCATCCTTCAGAATCACCTCATAAACTCTCTTGCACTGAAACTATATTTTGCTTTTGTTCTGAGCATTACTTATAAACACCCATGCTTGTACTTGGGTCTAGTGGTCTGGTTCTTTCAGGGGCACCCCTTCTTCAATTTACCCAGCACTTCTACTGAACGTAGTCTGTGGCACTCGTAAGGCTGGGGGGAGGGGGAAAGTCCAGACTTACCGGCCTTGTGCCTTGCTTCTTGTAAGTCTGAGAGCTCTGCTCGGGAACCTGTCTCACTTCACGGTAATCCCCAGCTATGACTTTGCATCTAGTCAGCTCACTCTGAAACATTTTTAATAATGAGGTTTTTTTTTATTCAGTGGCAATTGAATGACAAAGGGACTAGAAACTGAGCTTCTTGTGAAAGAGAATAACGAAGATATAATGCTTTAAGTGATGTAATAGAGGTGTGACCACAGTGCTACGAGACCCTAGAGAAGGGAGGTACCCATGTCATCCGGGGGAGTTGGAAAGGTTTTGAATACAAGCAGTTATGTGAGTAAGGTCCTGAAGGGAAGGCGTCTGGGGATCTGAGTCACAACTTTGCTGAATGTACATGGTTCTTCTCACTATTTAGTCTGAAGGGGTTGGTTTCCCTCTCATCTCCGTAGTAGCCTTTCAAGGAGGGTTGGTTTGTCTCTGGCCCAACGCCTTTACTGCTGCTGCTGGGAGGACAGAGGTGATTTGAGGAGTCACTTCCTGGGGGAAGGACAATCAGCACACAGTGCAGCCCTCTCACGGAGAAAGAGACTAGGGACCCGGGGGGGGGGGGGGGGCGGGGGGAAGAAACTGTCTGGGTAATAGAGAATGCAGGAACCAAGAGGCAACTTCTAATATATAAGAACATATTTATAAGGATTCTTGGAATATGTGTTCCATTAACATATTCTTGTTAAAACCCATTTTGTATGTGCTATGCTAACTCGCCCCTCTGTGTTGGACCTAGTAGAAAGTCCCCTCTCTCTGCAGCACTGGGTATAGTTTTACTGCAGCATCAAGAAGATGAGGCCGAGACAATTTAAACAATTCTTAAAATGATACTATGAAAACAGATCGAGTTTACAAAACTCTTGAAAAACTATTAAAATGACCTCAATTAAAAGTACAAAAATGTGAATCACTGTAATGATTTCTTTAGAAATCATTCAAAGAAATGGAATTTTGGCAAATAGGTCTTGTGGAAAATTGGCTTTCTACAGATGAATTTTGGCAAATGAGTTCATAAACAGTCTTGAAGAATTAATACACATCCATCAGGCAAAATGAAGAAAGCTTTCTAGGTACAGAGACAAGCAACGGAGACAGAAGTTGAACAGGAAAGGGCACACTTATGTCTTCACCAAATATTTCTGAGAAACAACCTGCCTTCGTTGAAGGAACACCCTTGCCGTCATGAAGCTTCTGCTATCCTCGTTTATACCACAGTCTGGAAAACCACTGCTTCAACAGCCACAGCAGCACGTCCGTTCCCGAGAAACAGGTGAGACCTTGGCTTTCCGCTCTGCGGGGAAGATTTCATCCTTCACTCGTGGTGCAAGGACAAGCACTCAGAACACGTTTAGAGAACATGCTGAAATGATTTGGCCAAAGCTTTAACATTTTCATTCATTCAGAGTCTCCTTGATTTTATGCAATAACTGTTTTCGAGCAATACACAATCATATAAATTCAATAAAGTTTTGTCATTCCTAAGCAATACGCTTAAAGAGAAGAGAGCTAAATGAATTGGCAACAGGCTGACTAAGACGTGATTGTTAACATTAGAGGAGAAGAGAACTCTGAAAAGTAGTGAGTATTTCATTCTTTCCAGTGTTATCTAGTGACGAGCATACACTGAGATAACGGGACAAGTGACCTTTGTTTAATAAGGTAGAGTATAGTATATTCTAGAAATATTTCTGGCACAAATAAGATGAGAGACTTTCAGCCAAAATGGTGTTTGAAACTCTACTCGAGCAATTCTAAGACATAGAAAAGGCTGGAATACACCGGAATGCATTCTATAAAGCACACATAAGCCTGACACCAAATTCAGGCCAAGATGCCCCTAAAAAGACAATTATAGACCAATAACCCTCATGAATATAGGTAATAAAATTCTTAACAAAATCCTAACCAATACAATTCAATAACATATTAAAAATATGACAAGGGAGCTTCAAAACATTCCTTTAACTTTCAATTCTATTTTCCAAGAAAAGTGGTAAGCCCCATTGGACACCATGGGAGAAAGATGGGGCTTTCTATTCCCCTATAAAGAGCTACAGTCTCAGAAACTCCCAGAGGTAGTGCTACCCTGTCCTACAGGTTAACTAGGGTTGACATCAACTTAGGCAGTGAGTTTGGCTTTTGGTGTTGTACACCATGATCAAGTGGGATTCATACTACAGATGCCAGGCTAGTTCAATCTTAGAAAACCACTCAATATCATCCAAATACATAAATAAAATAAAGGCAAAGAACCAAATTGTCATATCAAGAGATGCAGAAGCACATTTGATAAAATTCAACACCCACTAATGATTAAAAAACTCAGAACTAAAATCACAGAATGAAAAATCATCAACATAATTAAGGGTACGTACACAAAACCCACAGCCAACATTATTTTCAATATAGAGAGACTGAAAACATTCCCCTTGGGAATTGAGACCAAACAGGAATGCTATCATCACTCATATTCACTATTATACTAGAACACCTAGCCAGAAAATATAACAAGGAACTAAATGGCATCCACATTGTAAAGGAAGTAAATGAAATTATCCCTATTTGCAGATGTTATGATCCTATACATAGAAGGTTTTAGAAAATCTACGAGAAAATGATTGGAATAAAGGGAATCCATAAAGTGACATGGTAGAAGACATGGTACAAAAATCAGTCATATTCCTCTACATTAACAAAGAGAGCTCTGAAAAGGAAATTGGAAAAGAATACCACTTAGAAAAGCCACTAAAAAGAGATTAAATGCTTGGGAATAAACCTAGCCAAGAATATGAAAAACCTACGCCAAGAAAGCTACAAAACACTACTCTGTGAATTCAGCAGAGACTTTCATAATGGAAGAATACACCATATTCTCAGAGAAGAGGACTCAACGTTGTGAAAATATCAATACGATTCAAAGCGACCTTTCGGTAGATGCAATCATGATTCAGATTCCATCAGCATTCTTTAAAGAGAACCAAACCAAAACCAAACTCACTGCCAGACTCAAAGTGACCCTCTAGGACAGGGTAGATTTTCCTCTGTGAGTTTACAGACTGTAACTCTATGGGAGTAGACAGCCCTCCTTTCTCTCTCAGAGCAGCTGGTGGTTTCAAACTGTTGGCCTTGTGGATCACAGGCTAACTCACAACCACTATGCTACCAGGGCTCTTTTTTCTTTAAAGAGGAGGGAAAACTAATCAACTGCATATGCAAAGCAAAGAGATCGCAGATAAGTAAACCAGTCCCAACTCTGAGTCCTGCACTCAGAAACATACACAGCCGTGGCATATGGTAATCAAAGCTGCCTGGTGCTGATAGAATGACAGACACAGAGACCTACAGAACAGAATTGATAATTCAGAAATAACTTGTTCCACCTGTTGGCAGCTGATTTCTGACAGATTTCTTTAATAAATTATACTAGTGAAACTGTATAACCATTTGTAGAAAAATAAAACAAGATCCATCCCTAACATCATGTATAGAAACTAGTTCAAACTAATTGAAGACCTAAATGTAAAACCTGAAATTAGAAAGATAATAGAAGAAGAAAAAGGGGCAAACTTAGGGGTCTTAACCCATGGTATGAAGAATCTATGAAATATTTCTGAACATTCACAAACAACAAAAGATGAAATAATGACTGTGAGCTCCTAAACAATAACCATTGTGCTCACCACAATAGTTCTCCAAGAGAGAACACTAAGAATGGGGAAAACAATTTGGCAATGACCTAGTGGAAAAGGGAATGATTTATAAAATGTGCAGATAAGTCCAAAACCTCATCAACAAGAACACAATCTAATTAAATGGTGAAAGGACATGACCAGACAAATTCCTTGACAACGTCAACCTCTTCTCCATTTATCATGATGTGACCTATCGGTCCAGTGTGAATATATTGGTTTTCTTTACATTGACGTATAATTCATGCTGAAGGCTGAACTCCTTGATCTTTATCAGCAAGTGCTTCCAGTCCTCTCATTTTCAGCAAGCAAAGTTGTGTCATCTTCATACAGGAAATTGTTAATCAGCCTTCCTCCAATCCTGATGCCACATTATTTTTTATAGAATCCTGCGTCTCTGCTTTTTTGCTCAGCATACAGATTGAACAAGTGTCAGGACAGGATGCAGCCCTGATGCACGCCCTTCCTGATTTTAGACCATGCAGAATCCCTTTGTTCTGTTCTTGCACCTACCTCTTGCTCCATGTACAAGTCCTCCAAGGATCAGTTTTCTTTACATTGAGTTGTTTGGGCTAAATCCACACAGTTTTCCTTGGAAGCTCCTTAATACTTAATTCTTTTTCAAATGTAGCTTACATATTTTGTCTTATCCTATAATTTGTGTGTCTGAATTAAGTATTAAGGGACTTCCAAGTAGTATAACTTATGAGGTGGGAGTGGGGAGTGAGGGGAAAAATGTGGAATTGATGCCAGGGGCATAAGTGGAGAACAAATGTTTTGAGAATTATGAGGGTAATAAATGTACAAATATACTTTACACAATTGATGTATGTATGGGTTGTGATAAGAGTTGTATGAGCCCCTAATAAAACTATTAAAAAATAAATAAAAATATAAATAAATAAATTTCATTATAAAAAAGGAAAGAAAATATACTGAAATGCCATATCTAAGAAACTAAAGCTGACGTGGTCTTTATAATGTAATTTTCTGAATCAGCAC